GCTGCTGCCAGGTCCAGAGTGATCTCCCTGGGTCCCTGTACGGCCTCCCATTGCTGCTGTCTCCATCCATCGCCACACTCTGCCATGTGCCACTTTCAGGTCTCCTCACACTGCTGGTGGTTCCATTTTGTCATAGGGCTGCTGGCAGATTACGGGCCTCCCATTGCTGCTGCCAGGCCCGTAATCTGCCATGGGCCCCCGTACCTGCCGCCTCCTCATGCTGCTGCCAGGTCCAGAGTGTCTCATGGGTCCCTGTACGGCCTCCCATTGCTGCTGTCTCCATCGCCACACTCTGCCATGTGCCACTTTCAGGTCTCCTCACACTGCTGGTGGGTTCCATTTTTTGTCATAGGGTGCTGGCAGATTAGCCTCCCATTGCTGCTGCCAGGCCCGTAATCTGCCATGGGCCCCCGTACCGCCTCCTCATGCTGCTGCCAGGTCCAGAGTGTCTCATGGGTCCCTGTACGGCCTCCCATTGCTGCTGTCTCCATCGCCACACTCTGCCATGTGCCACTTTCAGGTCTCCTCACACTGCTGGTGGGTTCCATTTTGTCATAGGGTGCTGGCAGATTACGGGCCTCCCATTGCTGCTGCCAGGCCCGTAATCTGCCATGGGCCCCCGTACCGCCTCCTCATGCTGCTGCCCAGGTCCAGAGTGTCTCATGGGTCCCTGTACGGCCTCCCCATGCTGCTGTCTCCATCGCCACACTCTGCCATGTGCCACTTTCAGGTCTCCTCACACTGCTGGTGGGTTTCCATTTTGTCATAGGGTGCTGGCAATTACGGGCCCTCCCATTGCTGCTGCCAGGCCCGTAATCTGCCATGGGCCCCTGTACCCCCCCTCCGCCTCCTCCTGCTGCTGCCTGGTCCAGAGTCTCTCATGGGTCCCTGTACGGCCTCCCATTGCTGCTGTCTCCATCGCCACACTCTGCCATGTGCCACTTTCAGGTCTCCTCACACTGCTGTGGTGTTCCATTTTGTCATAGGGTGCTGGCAGATTACGGGCCTCCCATTGCTGCTGCCAGGCCCGTAATCTGCCATGGGCCCCTGTACCGCCTCCTCATGCTGCTGCCAGGTCCAGAGTGTCTCATGGGTCCCTGTACGGCCTCCCATTGCTGCTGTCTCCATCGCCACACTCTGCCATGTGCCACTTTCAGGTCTCCTCACACTGCTGGTGGGTTCCATTTTTTGTCATAGGGTGCTGGCAGATTACGGGCCTCCCATTGCTGCTGCCAGGCCCGTAATCTGCCATGGGCCCCCGTACCGCCTCCTCATGCTGCTGCCAGGTCCAGAGTGTCTCATGGGTCCCTGTACGGCCTCCCATTGCTGCTGTGCTGTCTCCATCGCCACACTCTGCCATGTGCCACTTTCAGGTCTCCTCACACTGCTGGTGGTTTCCATTTTTGTCATAGGGTGCTGGCAGATTACGGGCCTCCCATTGCTGCTGCCAGGCCCGTAATCTGCCATGGGCCCCCTGTACCGCCTCCTCATGCTGCTGCCAGGTCCAGAGTGTCTCATGGGTCCCTGTACGGCCTCCCATTGCTGCTGTCTCCATCCATCGCCACACTCTGCCATGTGCCACTTTCAGGTCTCCTCACACTGCTGGTGGTTCCATTTTGTCATAGGGTGCTGGCAGATTACGGGCCTCCCATTGCTGCTGCCAGGCCCGTAATCTGCCATGGGCCCCCGTACCGCCTCCTCATGCTGCTGCCAGGTCCAGAGTGTGTCATGGGTCCCTGTACGGCCTCCCATTGCTGCTGTCTCCATCGCCACACTCTGCCATGTGCCACTTTCAGGTCTCCTCACACTGCTGGTGGGTTCCATTTTTTTGTCATAGGGTGCTGGCAGATTACGGGCCTCCCATTGCTGCTGCCAGGCCCGTAATCTGCCATGGGCCCCTGTACCGCCTCCTCATGCTGCTGCCAGGTCCAGAGTGTCTCATGGGTCCCTGTACGGCCTCCCATTGCTGCTGCTGTCTCCATCGCCACACTCTGCCATGTGCCACTTTCAGGTCTCCTCACACTGCTGGTGGGTTCCATTTTGTCATAGGGTGCTGGCAGATTACGGGCCTCCCATTGCTGCTGCCAGGCCCGTAATCTGCCATGGGCCCCCCTGTACCGCCTCCTCATGCTGCTGCCAGGTCCAGAGTGTCTCATGGGTCCCTGTACGGCCTCCCATTGCTGCTGTCTCCATCGCCACACTCTGCCATGCCATGTGCCACTTTCAGGTCTCCTCACACTGCTGGTGGTGTTTCCATTTTGTCATAGGGTGCTGGCAGATTACGGGCCTCCCATTGCTGCTGCCAGGCCCGTAATCTGCCATGGGCCCCCGTACCGCCCTCCTCATGCTGCTGCCAGGTCCAGAGTGTCTCATGGGTCCCTGTACGGCCTCCCATTGCTGCTGTCTCCATCGCCACACTCTGCCATGTGCCACTTTCTTTCAGGTCTCCTCACACTGCTGGTGGTTCCATTTTTTGTCATAGGGTGCTGGCAGATTACGGGCCTCCCATTGCTGCTGCCAGGCCCGTAATCTGCCATGGGCCCCCGTACCGCCTCCTCATGCTGCTGCCAGGTCCAGTGTCTCATGGGTCCCTGTACGGCCTCCCATTGCTGCTGTCTCCATCGCCACACTCTGCCATGTGCCACTTTCAGGTCTCCTCACACTGCTGGTGGGTTCCATTTTTTTGTCATAGGGTGCTGGCAGATTACGGGCCTCCCATTGCTGCTGCCAGGCCCGTAATCTGCCATGGGCCCCTGTACCGCCTCCTCATGCTGCTGCCAGGTCCAGAGTGTCTCATGGGTCCCTGTACGGCCTCCCATTGCTGCTGTCTCCATCGCCACACTCTGCCATTGCCACTTTCAGGTCTCCTCACACTGCTGGTGGGTTCCATTTTGTCATAGGGTGCTGGCAGATTACGGGCCTCCCATTGCTGCTGCCAGGCCCGTAATCTGCCATGGGCCCCTGTACCCGCCTCCTCATGCTGCTGCCAGGCCCGTCCAGAGTGTGTCTCATGGGTCCCTGTACGGCCTCCCATTGCTGCTGTCTCCATCGCCACACTCTGCCATGTGCCACTTTCAGGTCTCCTCACACTGCTGGTGGGTTTCCATTTTGTCATAGGGTGCTGGCAGATTACGGGCCTCCCATTGCTGCTGCCAGGCCCGTAATCTGCCATGGGCCCCCGTACCGACTCCTCATGCTGTGACGTTGCAACAAGGTGGAATTCAACCCTACATATGTTAACCGCCTTTACGAACAGCGAAAGGCCATCACCGATTTCCTGATGTTACAAGCGGATAAAGGTACTCCCCTGTGTAACTTAGATGTCAGCCATTGGCAGCTCATGCGTGACACCTGCCGCTTGCTCAGGCCCTTTGAGGAGGCCACGCTATTTGTGAGTCGGCAGGACTATGGGATGAACGACGTCATTCCTCTGTTGCACGTCCTGGAACAAATGCTGTTAACAATGGCTGGTCAGGGTGCGGTAGACGTGGCGCAGAGATCTCAACGCCACATGACCCCTGTGGGGGCAGGACAGGAAGAAGAGGAGGAGGTAAAGGAGGACATTGGTGCTCAGGAATTATTGAGTGAAATGGGTGGTTTTTCCCACTCAGCGGACAGGAGTGGAGGAGCAGGAGCATCTGGTAGAGGAGGAGGAGGAGGAGACAGAGGACCCAGACGCACCGTGGCAGTATGCTGTGGAGATTGAGGCAGGGAGTCCCTCGCATTCCTTGGCACAAATGGCCCATAGCATGCTCGGTTGCTTGCGTAGCGACAGCCGAATAATAACCATCAGACAGAGGGATGACTTTTGGCTGTCCACCTTGTTGGACCCTCGCTACCGTTCAAAAATGGTGGCCTTTTTCACACCTGCTGAGAGGGAGGCCAAAATAGCCTACTATAAAAACCACCTATGTAGTCAGTTGGTCTCTGCCTTTCTGCGCCAACGTCCATCCTCAGACACTGTGGGCCCTGTGCGCTCGCGTTCCGTTGCCATGGCAGCAGGGGAGGGGTGGGGTGGTAGGAGCAGTGGCAGCTCCACCAGCAGCGGCTGCCTCAGTCTGCAGTCGATGATGAGTAGCTTTCTTCACCAGCGCAGTGAGGAAACTACTAACCAGCCGCAGCAGCAGCAGCATCAGGTGGACCTGGAGCAGGACCTCAAACAACAGGCTTGGGCCTACTTGGACAGCACCCTGCCAACCGAGGTAGACAATCCCCTTGACTACTGGGCAACGAAACTTGACCTTTGGCCCCAACTAGCTGAATTTGCCCTTGAAAGGCTGTCATGCCCGGCCAGTAGCGTGGCATCGGAGCGCGTGTTTAGTGCGGCAGGAGGTATTGTAACTCCGCGGAGGACACGACTGTCCACCCAAAGTGTGGAGAGACTCACGTTTGTGAAAATGAATCAGGCGTGGATTAGTCTGGATTTCAAACCACCAGTTCCTGACACAACTGACTAAATCCGCCATGAATCATGCCCCAAACATGTTATTTCCATTTTTAACATAGGCCTCTGTATGGCCTTCAATTTAAGCTGCTTACGCTTCGCCACTCTGCCATGGGCCCCTGTACCGCCTCTCCTCTTGCTGCTGCCAGGTCCAGTAGTGTGTCATGGGTCCCTGTACGGCCTCCCTTTGCTGCTGTCTCCATCGCCACACTCTGCCATGTGCCACTTTCAGGTCTCCTCACACTGCTGGTGGGTTCCATTTTGTCATAGGGTGCTGGCAGATTACGGGCCTCCCATTGCTGCTGCTGCCAGGCCCGTAATCTGCCATGGGCCCCCGTACCGCCTCCTCATGCTGCTGCCAGGCCCGTAGTGTGTCATGGGTCCCTGTACGGCCTCCCATTGCTGCTGTCTCCATCGCCACACTCTGCCATGTGCCACTTTCAGGTCTCCTCACACTGCTGGTGGGTTCCATTTTGTCATAGGGTGCTGGCAGATTACGGGCCTCCCATTGCTGCTGCCAGGCCCGTAATCTGCCATGGGCCCCCGTACCGCCTCCTCATGCTGCTGCCAGGTCCAGAGTGTGTCATGGGTCCCTGTACGGCCTCCCATTGCTGCTGTCTCCATCGCCACACTCTGCCATGTGCCACTTTCAGGTCTCCTCACACTGCTGGTGGGTTCCATTTTGTCATAGGGTGCTGGCAGATTACGGGCCTCCCATTGCTGCTGCCAGGCCCGTAATCTGCCATGGGCCCCCGTACCGACTCCTCATGCTGCTGCCAGGTCCGTAATCTGTCATGGGCCCCTGTACCGCCTCCTCATGCTGCTGACAGGTCCAGAGTGTCTCATGGGTCCCTGTACGGCCTCCCATTGCTGCTGTCTCCATCGCCACACTCTGCCATGTGCCACTTTCAGGTCTCCTCACACTGCTGGTGGGTTCCATTTTGTCATAGGGTGCTGGCAGATTACGGGCCTCCCATTGCTGCTGCCAGGCCCGTAATCTGCCATGGGCCCCCGTACCGACTCCTCATGCTGCTGCCAGGTCTGTAATCTGTCATGGGCCCCTGTACCGTCTCCTCATGCTGCTGCCAGGTCCAGAGTGTGTCATGGGTCCCTGTACGGCCTCCCATTGCTGCTGTCTCCATCGCCACACTCTGCCATGTGCCACTTTCAGGTCTCCTCACACTGCTGGTGGGTTCCATTTTGTCATAGGGTGCTGTATGGCCTCCCATTGCTGCTGCCTCCACCGCCACACTGTGGCTCCACACTCTGGTTTTGGCCCCGTGACTGCCCAAATGAGTGAAGTGTGCGGTGATTCTAAGATCGACGGCACTCATCTGCATGTCATACTGACTGACAGTATTATTTCTCTTCCCCAGCAGACTCCAAGGGCATTTAAATTAAAGGTACAGTGTTCTGCACTAATATAAAGGCTCTCTGAAGCCTAGAAACACCCTTTTTAAAGTTAAATTCGCAGCGAATATATTCGCCTCGAATCGAATTTATTCCTCGAATTCGCCGAATCAGCCGAATCGAATTTTTGAATACTTCGCTCATCTCTAGTATTGAGGCCACAGTTCATGTATCTCGGTTTTGTTTTTTATTTTGGTTTTTTTTTTCAAAAGAGAAACTTATTGAGTTTACAAAAATTAGCTCAAGTGCAGTTCCAGAACCGTATGTCAAACAGTTATAAACATCCTTTTCACATAGCTCTATAGTCACATACCAGGCAGCCAAAACACAGTACCAAAAAAAGTGAAGCACACATTCTACTCCTTTTAGTTCAACACCTCCACCACCAGCAGAATTCTGGTCCACCCACTATGCACATTTCAGCCAATTTTGGGAACTATATCATCTTCTAATATGGCCAGAAGACTGCACCTTGGATCACAAGGTATTGTGCACTGAAAGGCTTGATTTATAGAGGTAAGTATCGGCTCCCAAAATATGTGTAGTTTTGGACAGCACCACAGCACATGAATGAGCTCACCATGGTCCCTGCTACATTTTGGACAAGCTGTGTCAGGAAGGAGCACCATCCTAAACAGCTTGGCAGGTGTGTAGTGTACTCTCAACAGGATGTATAGTTGTGAGAGGCTCTGGGAGGTATTTAATGAGCTATCCTGTACTGCTTCCAGAGCCATCTCCCACTGTTCATCTGTTACTTCCCCCACATCTGAGTGCCATTGTTCCTTCACCTTGTAGGGGTACGCTTCCAGGTAAGTGGAGAGTAGGGTGGCATAGCAACTAGATATCATGCCTTTCTTTACTGTACTGTGTTGCAACATATCAAAGATAGACGTGGGAGAGAGAAATCATTTAGTATGTTTTGAGCCATGACTGCATGACACAACTGTAAGTAGCAGAAGTGCATGGACTGCGGCAGATGATAAAGTGTTTGTAGGGCAGAGAACGATAATTTCCTATACCTGAAAATGCATTTCAGGTGGGTAAAGCTCCAGATAAGAGTGGTTGTGCCAGATATGGCTATTTTGGTAAAACCAGTCACCCTCTGTATTTGTTTGACCTTATTCCAGATCTTGTGTATTAAACGATAAGTAGGAAATTGGTGACTAGACCTAGCAAAATACTGTGATTCTAGACCCTGAGAGAGAGAAAGTGAGTTGGTATGCAGCAATACAATGGAGGGAGAATTCATTAGCCATCTCCTCGGATTCTTCCTCCCGTACCAAACTGTTTGCATGTTCTGTAACTGAGCAGCCAGAAAGTATAGCCAGGCATTCAGGAACGCAATTCCCCCAGTACTCTTAGAGCGCCACAGCTGTTCCAATCGAATTTTGGGTGAGCCTCGTTTCCATAACAGCTGGTGAAACAGAGTTCAGTGTCCTAAATAGTGTAAGGGGTAACATAAATGGGGCATTGTGAAGGAAGTAAAGCAACTGTGGCATCATAATCATTTTACCTAAATTCACCCACCCAGCCATAGCCAAAGTTTATTCCATAGTTTAATTTGCCATGAAATTTAGCAAGCAGCAGGGCAATATTTAGGTGGGAGTAGTCAGTGATAACTGGGGAAATAACTACAGTATATAAAAGGAGTCAACCACAGGGATAGGGCAGAAGGAGGATAATCCCGCATTGACTGTGCACTCCAGGGGTAACAATGCAGATTTGGACCAATTAATTGTTAGTCATGAATATTTCCTGAACTCTTTAATCACTGACATAGCTGCTTTCACCGAGGTGTCTGTGTCCCCCAGCATCAGAAGCATGTCATCTGTATATAAAAAAAACATTACTTTTTTGTGCAGGGTACCATAACAGAAGCCCTTGATATTCTCCGACATCCTAATATGGACTGCGAATTAATCGTACAGGAGAGGGGAGAGAGGGCACCATTGACGCGTTCCTCTACCCAACAAGAAAGAGGATAACGCACTTCTCATTCTTATGGCTGCCTGTGGAACAGAGTATAGAAAGCGCTTCCAGATGAACCCCTCTCCAAAACCAAAACATTCCATAATTGCCCCTAAGCATCTCCATTCTACGCTATCAAATGCTTTATTTGCACCTAAGGCTAGCATGTATCTAGGTTTACTCATTATTGGATAAATTCAGGTTGTTGCTGGGGATGTTGAGATTTTTTCTTTAATTGTTGAGGTAAGATACAGTTGCGCTCAAAAGTTTGCATACCCTGGCAGAAATTGTGAAATTTTGGCATTGATATTGAAAATATGACTGATCATGCCACAAATACTCTTTTATTGAAGGATGATGATCATATGAAGCCATTTATTATCAAATAGTTGTTTGGCTCCTTTTTAAATCATAATAACAGAAATCCCCCAAATGGCCCGGATCAAACGTTTACATACGCTGGAATGTTTGGCCTTGGTGCAGACACACAAGGTGACACACACGGGTTAAAATGCCAATTAGAGGTTAATGTCCCACATCTGTGGCTTTTTAAATTGCAATTATTGTCAGTGTATAAATAGTCAATGGGTTTGTTAGCTCTTATGTGGAAGCACTGACCAGGCTAGATACTGAGCCGTGGGGATCAGAAAAGATCTGTCAAACGTCCCGCTTAACAAGGTAATGGAACTTTTTAAAGATGGAAAAGGACATAGAAGGATGTCCAAAGCCTCGAATATGCCAATCAGTACTGTTAAATCACTTATTAAGAAGTGGAAAGTTCGGGGATCTCTTGATACCAAGCCAAGGTCAGGTAGACCAAGAAAGATTGCAGTCATAACTGCCAGAAGAATTGTCTGGGATTCAAAGAAAAACCCACAGGCAACCTCAAAAAAAATACAGGCTGCTCTGGAAAAAGATGGTGTGGTTGTTTTTTAAGGAGTACAATACGGTGATACTTGAACAAAAATTAGCTGTTTGGTCGAGGTGCCAGAAAGAAGCTTTTACTGCACCAAAGCCACAAAAAATTCCGGTTACAATATGACTGACAACACCTTGACATGCCTAACCAGGCCTTGTGTCATTGATGCCGTAAAGGTTTCTTTCTGGCACCTCGATCATGCAGCTAATTTTTGTTCAAGTACTGTGATATTGTGCTCCTTCAAAACAACCACACTGTCTTTTTCCAGCGCAGCCTGTATTTTCCTTGTGGTTACCTATGAGTTTCCCTTTGTATCCCGAACAATTCTTCTAGCAGTTATGGCTGCAATCTTTCTTGGACTACCTGTACTTGGCTTGGTTTCAAGAGATCCCCGAACTTTCCACTTCTTAATAGGTGATTTAACAGTACTGATTGGCATATTCAAGGCTTTGGACATCTTTTTATGTCCTTTTCCATCTTTATAAAGTTCCATTACCTTGTTACGCAGGACTTTTAACAGTTCTTTTCTGATCCCCACGGCTCAGTATCTAGCCTAATCAGTGCTTCCACGTAAGAGCTAACAAACTCATTGACTATTTATACACTGACAATAATTGCAATTTAAAAAAGCCACAGATGTGGGACATTAACCTCTAATTGGCATTTTAACCCATGTGTGTCACCTTGTGTGTCTGTACCAAGGCCAAACATTCCAGGGTATGTAAACTTTTGATCCGGGCCATTTGGGTGATTTCTGTTATCATTATGATTTAAAAAAGTAGCCAAACAACTATTTGATAATAAATGGCTTCATATGATCATCATCCTTCAATAAAAAGAACATTTTTTGGCATGATCAGTCATATTTTCAATATCAATGCCAAAATTTCACAATTTCTGCCAGGGTATGCAAACTTTTGAGCACAGCTGTATATCCCCATTTGTCATAGTAGATTTAGGCACCTCATTGTTTAACACAGGAGATCTATATTGTAGGGTTAAAACATGAAATTGTCTGTTCCCTTTGGTACATCAATTAAGAAATAGTCCTGTGTACTCCAAAGGCTCTTCTTGGACCAAGTCGGGTCAAACTGCATTCTATAGGGCTGCATGAGAACCGAGGAGCAGGCTACCATGTTGAGCACCGTGCCATGGAGAAACCCAAGGGGGATCTTCTATCATCCAGAGTTGCTGACTTAGTTGCATTCATCCTGACCGCGGCAGCTGCAGACTACTCGTTGCCTCCTGAAGATATGGTGAGGGTCTCTGACCCACACAATTGCTGGATTCAGCAGCTGGTTCCTGTCTGCTCTGGTAGGTAGGGCCATTACCATTCATTAAATATGTTCTCTAATCGAAATTAAAAATATTGGCTGTCATTTTCTACTGAAAGCTGCAGCTACCAACACCAAAGACGCTAAAGCCGCCACTACTTCAGGCTGCTGACTTTGATTACTCCTATTTCATCACAACTTGTTGCTTTATATCCCAAAATTAACTCCTTCCAACCCTCACTCCACATTGCTCATCCCCTTTCTTTGAATGTGTTTGCTTCCCCTACACCCAGGGTGTATTGTAAGGGGAGTTATTGTATTGCAGTGCCTGTG